GAAAGTACTAAAGCAAAAAGTACACTTTGAGCAATGAAAGCAGGCAGGAGAGAAAGACAGAGAAACCTGCACACCCCGTGGGCTGGTTTCTATCTTTTATTGACAGTAGCTAACTAGGGGAAAGAATATTCATTACTTGGGGTGGACGTACAGGGGCAGCACTGGTGGTCTGGAAGACACGGCATGAGGGCTTCCTCCAGTCATTCTTACATGGTCCTTCCTTTGTTATCTATTCTAAAGAATACATACACTATTTGCATCATGATACTCGTGTAAAATAAGGGGTGCAGGTCTTAGCAAGAACAGAAGCAGGAAAGACTAAAAAGCAGATTTTTACGCAGTCCTTCAAGTTTCCTTGTCTCAATAGCAGAGAACTGTCAAAGCGTGGTATATTTTTAGGAGAACAAATTGTTTGCCAACAGCGGAATGGAGGGATTTGGGGAGCAGTGGCATAAGATGATGATGGAGGTCAAGTGAGACCAGACGGAGAAAACCTGTATCTTCCATTCTAAGAAGACTACAGTTTAGAGATATTATTCTCTAAACTGTATATAGTGGGAAGTGAGAGTCAATATAGCTTCTTAAGCAGAAGGTGAAGGCTAATCACAATGGTGATCGGGACTGTGGGAATGACTAATACTTACAAAGCACATACTGTACTCGGGGCATTATTCTACATGCTCCATGCATTATAATATGATTCATCCCTATGATGATGCCCCACAACAATGTATGTGGTTAGTACTGCAATTTTTCTATTTTACAGATAGGAAAACTGAGGCAGAGAAAATTGAAATAAACTGCCAAAAGTTACTATAGATAGGAGAGCTATGATTTAACCATCACTAGACCATAATGCATCATCACACTTTTGTTTTCAAACAAATTTGGCAGTAGTCTGAAGGATAGATTTAGTGCAAAAGACAATGAACACATTTAAGAGACTATGCATTCATTTAATAAATATATAAAGCACCTACAGTCTATGGGCCTCTAATTTAAATGCTGGAGAAAATAGCGATAGACAAAACAATATCCTTCTTCTCCTGGAGCTATTATTATAGAATAATCTAAAAATGGAAACTATCAATTAAGTTAGAGATAATGTTAGACCAAGAATAGGGAAGCAAATCAGGAGGTATTTAGGACCACGAATGGACAGTCATTGGTAACATGAAAAGTAAGCAGAGACAGAGAGTTGGAAATATGAGAAGAATGTGAGTTTTCTAAATTAGACCATTAGGTAGCATCACAAGATCTGTTTGAAAAGACAGAGAATTTCAGACATGTTGAAATGAAGGTATCTTTGGAACATCCAAATGGGAATATAGGTCCAGAGAGCTTTTTCAAATATTTTTTACTAAATAAGTAAAAATATTTTCACACCATTTTATACACTCTCTTGCCAGTATAAGGAGTTCTAAGATTATATACTATGCACAAATCAGTGCTCCATTAGGAACTGAACACATGCTTATTAAGTGTTTATTAAGGTCAAGAACAGGACCAGGCACTGGAGATCCAGTACTGCACAGAATAGACATGCCCCTGGCTTCCAGCTCAAGACTAAGTATGTGCAAATAAAAATAATGAAGTACCATTATTTACCCATCAGGTAAATGGAAAAGGAAAGAACTAGTAATGCCCACTTTCTGGCAAATATCAGGGGAAACAGACTTTCTGATACACTGTAGGTGAATAGCTATACATTTTTGGAAGGTCATATGCCAATATCTTCTAAAATTCAAAATGGGCAAATTTCTCATCTGGGATACAAAAGCAATGGTACATATTAATATAAGTACAAAGATGTATTGCAAAATTTTGTAAAAGCATACACTGGTTTCAACTTAAATACTCATCAACTGAATAAATTATCATTCAGATAGATCATTTAACACTAAATATCTCTTGAAAGTAATATAAGGATGTATGTGTTTGGGTTTAGAAAGTCGTGCGTGATATAGTAGGTGAATAAAGCACTTATGGAGAATACTATTCCTATTAGAACCTTATTATGGTTTTATGAAGGAAGACTTTATATTTGTATGTATATTTGAATGAACATGGGGGAAAATATGAAGGGAGGCTCGTTCCCCCATTATCTCTTGTGGGTACAACTAGAAAGGAAGTGAGATGCTATTGACTTGTTTTTTTTCATAAATGACTTGTTAACTTTTGTAACCTAAAATACATTTTAAAAAGAAATAAAAGAATATCTTTCATATTTTTAAATATTTATTTATTTCTTTTGAGAGAGAGAGTGAGCAGGGGAAAGACAGAGATAGAGGGAGAAAGGGAATCCCAAGCAGGCTTTGTGCTGTTAGCACAGAGCCTGATGTGGGGCTTGAACTCGTGAACCACAAGATCATAACGTGAGCCAGAATCAAGAGACACTTAACTATCTGGGCACCCCCAGGTGCCCCCATAATAGTTTTAAATAAGAATTTGTTTGATGGTTTGTCCACTCTCACCACTGTTGTTTAACATAGTGCTGGAAGTCCTAGCATCAGCCATCAGACAACAAAAGGAAATCAAAGGCATCAGAATTGGCAAAGAGGAAGTCAAACTTTCACTCTTTGCAGATGACATGATACTCTACATAGAAAACCCGACAGACTCCACCAGAAGCCTACTAGAACTGATCCAAGAATTCAGCCAAGTTGCAGGGTACAAAATCAACGTACAGAAATCGGTTGCAGGTTTATACACCAACAATGAAGCAACAGAAAGAGAAATCATGGAACTGATCCCATTCACAATTGCACACAAAACCATAAAATACCTAGGAATAAACCTAACCAAGGATACAAGAGATCTGTATGATGAAAACTATAGAAAACTTATGAAGGAAATTGAAGAAGACACAAAGAAATGGAAAAACATTCCATGCTCATGGATAGGAAGAATAAATATAGTTAAGATGTCATTACTACCTAAAGCACTCTACACATTCAATGCAATTCCAATCAAAATTGCACCAGCATACTTCTCAAAACTAGAACAAACTATCCAAAAATTTGTATGGAACCACAAAAGACCCCGAATAGCCAAAGTAATACTGAAAAATAAAACCAAAACGGGAGGTATCACCATCCCAGACTTCAGCCTCTACTACAAAGCTGTCATCCTCAAGACAGTATGGTATTGGCACAAAAACAGACACATAGACCAATGGAACAGAATTGAGAACTCAGAAGTGGACCCAAAAGTATACAGCCAACTGATCTTTGACAAAGCAGGAAAGAATATCCAATGGAAAAAAGACAGCCTTTTTAACAGATGGTGTTGGGAGAACTGGACAGCAACATGCAGAAGAATGAAACTAGATCATTTTCTCACACCATGCACAAAAATCAACTCAAAATGGATAAAGGACCTGAACGTGAGACAGGAAACTATCAACACCCTAGAGGAGAAAGCAGGAAACAACCTCCTTGACCTCCACCGCAGCAACTTCTTACTTGACACATCCCCAAAAGCAAGGGAATCAAGAGCAAAAATAAACTGTTGGGACCTCATCAAGATTAAAAGCTTCTGCACAGCCAAGGAAACAACCCAGAAAATTAATAGGCAACCAACGGAATGGGAAAAGATAGTTGCAAATGACATATCAGATAAAGGGTTAATATCCAGAATCTATAAGGAACTCACCAAACTACACGCCCGAAAAACAAACAACCCAGTGAAGAAATGGGCAGAAGACATGAACAGACACTTCTCCAAAGAGGACATCCAGATGGCCAACAGACACATGAAACGATGCTCAGCATCCCTCCTCATCAGGGAAATACAAATCAAAACCACACTGAGATACCACCTCACGCCAGTCAGAGTGGCTAAAATGAGCAAATCAGAGAACTCTAGATGCTGGCGAGGATGTGGAGAAACGGGCACCCTCCTACACTGTTGGTGGGAATGTAAACTGGTACAGCCCCTCTGGAAAACAGTGTGGAGGTTCCTCAGGAAACTAACAATAGAACTCCCTTATGACCCAGCAATAGCACTGCTAGGAATTTACCCAAGGGATACAGAAATGCTGAGGCATAGGAGCACATGTACCCCAATGTTCATAGCAGCACTCTCCACAATAGCTAAAACATGGAAAGAGCCTAAGTGTCCATCAACAGATGAATGGATCAAGAAGATGTGGTTTATCTATACCATGGAATACTACATGGCAATGAGAAACAATGAAATCTGGCCATGTGTAGCAACATGGATGGACCTTGAGGGTGTTATGCTGAGAGAAATAAGTCAGGCAGAGAAGGACAAATATCATATGTTTGCATGTATAGGAGGATTAGGAGAAACTTAACTGAGGAACAAGGGGGAGAAGAAGGGGGGAAATGGTGGGGGAAAGGGAGAGAGCAAACCATGAGAGACTCTTTTTTTTTCTCTTTTTTTTTTTACAAATAGTTTATTGTCAAATTAGTTTCCACATAACACCCAGTGCTCATCCCCACAAGTGCCCTCCGCCATGCCCATCCCCCCTCCCCCCACATCCATCAGTCCTCAGTTTTCGTCAGCATTCAAGAGTCTCCCATGGGGATGGGCATGGAGGAGGGCACTTGTGGGGATGAGCACTGGGTGTTATGTGGAAACTAATTTGACAATAAACTATTCGTAAAAAAAAAGAATTTGTTTGATGGTTTAAAGAAAGAAACTTGGAGGATTGAAGTGGGATCAAAGAATCTATCCTAACATAATTAGCAAAAATTAGTATATATATCTGGAGTCCTTATGAAAATATTTGCATATTCTATAATAAACCAAAATGAAATGCTTTTAATTTTTATTAAACTCTTAATTTGTGATGTTTCATATTATATTGTTTATATTACGTTATGCTTATCACAAATGTCTAACAAAAAATTTTAAAAGAATAACAACTAAATGGGAAAATTTCATTATTTATTTATTTATTTATTTATTTTTTGAAATTCTTGACTTCTTTCCTGGGTCATAATCCATAATCTGCATAAAATAGATAATATTTGTTAAATCAAAACCAAGGTTAAAATTTGGAAATGGGTCGAGGTGGGGAATGGGGAGGACAGCAATCTGGTTTTCTTAAGGCGAAATGGTAAGGATTTCTTTAAATAGACACTTTATTACATCCACAGGCGATAAAATCCCAGAGCTACTGTTAGGCACGTAAATGCAGACCCTGCTAAATATTTAATGTTGTCGAGATTGTGCGACTCCAGCATGGTTTTGAGGCCGGCGACCTCAGTGTCTATCTTCCGGTCGGTCTGGGTGACAGCCCGATATGCTGGGCATGCAATGCCACCATTTCTGTCCTCATTTCCAGCAGCTTCCTTTCATTCAACGAATACAATTCCTTCACTCTGCTCTTTTCTAGATTGAACTCTAATTTGGTATCTGTTCGGACTTTGACCACTTCATCCATTATTTGTTGTTTTAACCGATGTAGCTCGAGGTTCATTTTCTCATTTTCTGCTCTGAGGGCTGAAAATTCACTCTTCTCCAAGATAATCATATCTTTGGGGCGCCTGGGTGGCTTAGCCGGTTAAGCGTCCGACTTTCGCTTGGGTCATGATCTCACGGTTCGTGGGTTCGAGCCCCGCGTAGGGCTCTGTGCTGACAGCCAGCTCAGAGCCTGGAGCCTGTTTCAGAGTCTGTGATTCCCTCTCTCTCTGACCCTCCCCTGCTCATGCTGTCTCTATCTCTCTCCTAGAAATAAATAAAACATTTAAAAAAAAAAAAAAGATAATCATATCTTTTTTTCACATTGGCAATCTGAGACATTAGTTGCTGAACAGTGATCTCCTGCTGCATCTTCGTGACCATATCCTTATAGACGATATCCATGTTGGCATCCGTGATCTTGACCAATGCAGAGACGGTGATTTCGGCTTGCTGCGTGGTAAACCCATTTTCTTGGAGTAAGCACACTAAGGCATGGGTGTCGAAGTAGAACTTCCTGTTCCCGCAAGAGGCGAAGTCCCCCCCTTTTTTGCTCCACATCTCTCCAGCTGCAGGCTCCCAGCAGAGAGGCTTAGCTCTCTCCGGGAGGAAGCGAGGGCGGCCACTCGGCTGTGCCTCCGGCCAGGGGGACGCAGGGCCCCGCGAGCGAGCGCTCCCGGTCCGCGAGGGGCCGGCGCGGGGCGAAAATTTCATCATTTGAACATGCACCTCTACTGTTGACAGCTTTTTATTTTTTATTTTTATTTTTTTTAATATTTATTTATTTCTGATAGACAGAGCATGAGCAGGGGAGGAGCAGAGAGAGAGAGGGAGACACGGAATCCAAAACAGGCTCCAGGCTCTGAGCTGTCAGCACAGAGCCTGACGCAGGGCTTTAACCCACTAACCGTGAGATCAGGACCTGAGCTGAAGTCAGATGTTCAACCAACTGAGCCACCCCGGCACCCCGACAGCTTTTTATCTTAACAGCATGTTCCCCCTCATAGAAAAGGCACCATATTATCATGGAGAAAAATCTTAGAAACACAGAAAAGCACCAAGAAGAACACAAACATGTCCTGCATCTTATTATCTACATCCATTTTTTTTTGACAGTGTCGTGTATATCCTTCCAAGAACTCTTCCAGCGATCCATTTATCTATCATCTAGTTAATTGTACACAATTTTTAAAGTCTATTTATTTTGAGAGAGAGAGAGAGCAAGAGAGAGAGAGAACACACTCCAAGCAGGCTCTGCGCTGTCAGTGCAAAGACCAACATGACCATGAGATCATGGCCTGAGCCAAAATTAAGAGTCAGAACGTTTACCAACTGAGCCACCCAAGCACCCCAATTGTACATAATTTTTCAAATAAAAAACTCACACATAGGTTTATAAGATGCTTTTCCTTTTCACTTGAGTGTATCAGGAACATTTTCTTGTGTCTCCTACAATACTATTTTTATTAGTCACAGAGCATTCCTTTGAGTAGATATGTAATAACTTACTCAGCTAGTTTTCTGTGACTAGATATTTGGGCTGATAAGTTTTAGCAGAAACAAAATATGCACAACACTTCTAGCTAAATTTTCATTAATGTTTTTTAATACAGTTTCCGTTATTGCTTTTTCATTTTTTTTTAAGATAAAGATACATTTTCTTAGTGGATTTAAGATTGTGTTTGGTAAGGATGACTCAAACTTAAAAGGATATTGGCAACTCCTGAGTCTTACACAAGGGAAAACAAACTGATACAGATGGTATGTGGGAACTGGGTCTTTGAGGATACCAGAGAGCAAAGTCACTGGAACTTTACAAAGACCTACACCATCACACTGTGACCAGCGGCAAAGATGCCCCAGGACCCCGTAGCTAGTTCTTCATTTTGCAGTGGACTTGAATGAAATGATAGTTATTTTTTTCTTTTTTTAAAAACAATTTTTTAATGTTTATTTTTTGAGAGACAGAGAGAGAGCACAAGCAGGGGAGGGGCAGAGAGAGGGAGACAGAATCCAAAGCAGGCTCTAGGCTCTGAGCTGTCAGCACAGAGCCCGATGCGGGGCTTGAACTCACGAACCATGAGATCGTGACCTGAGCCAAAGTCAGACGCTCAACCTACTGAGACACCTGGGCGCCCCGATAATTATTGATCCAACAAACTATAATAACTTTCCCCAGGCCCTTGGGGACTGTTGTGCAAATGTGTCCTTGGGGACCCTTAAATACTGCTTATTAATGGCTTGACAAGCCTAATGGCTCTGAAGGAGCCATTAAAGACCATGGTGTAAATCCTTTTGAGTTCTTACTTCTTAGACCCAACCTGTGGGAGACTGTCCCACATGCACCGTATCAGGCTGCTCAGAGGAAGAAGTGATAACCTAACTTCTGAACGGTACATCCATAGCATCCAGAACCAATGGGCAATTCCCTCTGAAATTCATTTCTTCTTCCACTTTACTCCATTTATACATTTAAATGGAGTACATACATGTATTTAATTCATCCTCTTAGACGTTTAAAAATAGTGTGTACATTTCCTTAGGAGCGATATCTCTAATTTTTCTGATCCATTTCTATATATTTTAGAATATAGTGAAAAGTCTTGGGTACTTATTACATAGTCTTTACGATGACTGGAATGAAGTCTGAAAAATGTATTTCTACAATATTGACATTGCTAAATATTCTATTATTGATTGTCAACCATATCAACATAGTCCAACTAGTAAAAACTTTTAATCCTCATCAATCCTGGGGGTTTTATGAGCCATGGGATCTCTTCACTGGCACATTTCCAACTAGTCCCCCAAATGGCATTGCAGCAGTAAACCTCTGAGCAGACTTTCACTTGGGCCCCACAGAATGCTCAAGTCGAGCAAGTCTTTGTTTCGTAACCAAGTTCCATGGAGACACTTACGGAGGCCAAATTACAGTGTTTTGTCAGCACAGATCTCATTCTGAGTTATCTTCTTTGTTTTACAAATCTAATCTGGAGGACCAAACTTCCAAGGCCTGTGATATGTTGCCGGAGGAGCACACGAGGGTTTAAATTGCATCTTTTCAATGCGTTCTGGCACCACAGCCTGAAGCCAATACTAGTTTTTTAACTGGCAACCTGCCTCCCACGAATGGAGGAAGCAGATTGCCTCTTTGCTGAGTACTTAGACAAGGTACTGATATAATAACAGTGGACAAGCAGCTGGGCGCGGGGCTGTCAGCCTGTCACACACTGACAAATCTGTTGTTCATATTCAGGCCGGACGTGTGCTTGCTGGCCATCAGTATCATCCATCTAGCGCAGGGTGTGAGGGGTAGCCTCTCCCCCGCGCCCATGGACCAAATGCTGTTATTACATCTTTCTGAAGGATCTCAACTAAACAACTCATTTGCTTTTTTATGATGGGGCTGGCAAATGAGACAAGTAAGATAGCCTGCTCAATTTTTGTTTCTCGTTCTTCGTTCAACACACCAACACAGCCTGGATTGCCATTTCACGTCACATACATAAAATCATAACTCTAAATGGCTCCACGCTGCTCTTCTGAAAATCCATGTAAAGGAAGGAAGGGCAAATAAGAGAAATAAGAAATTAAAGCATTGCTGTTTGAGGGGAAATAAATCATGTGAACACAACATGGGGTGAGTTCTTTTGTTTTTGTGTTTCTTTCTTTCTTTTTCCTTTCTTTTCTCTTTGTCTTTTAGTTTTCAGGCAGTGCTGACTTTCAGAATGATCTCTAACAAATTTCCCCTAGAGCCACTGAATTTGTAACACTCAGACTCTCACTCTCTCTGCAGATTCATTTCAGGCTGAATGTGAAGCCCACCTGAGACTAAATTTACAATTCCCTGGCCAAACCATATCTATATTTATATGGGCCTTTGTAAATCAATGAAATATATTTTCTTTTTTAAATGCGAGCATTTGGGGGAATTTAAAAGTGATTGAAGCTATATCCCAGAGTTTCTGATATGATGCCATTTACCGTTTGTTGGTCCTTATCTGAAAAAGCAAAATTCTGGCTATGGATTATTGATTTGTATCAGGTAAACAGTGTGTGTGTGTGTGTGTGTGTGTGTGTGTGTATGTAAATAGATTTCTCATTTATCATTTTTTTCTTCTCTCATGGAGAGCCTAAGAGTTCTTTCTTCTGAGGAAATATTTTGTGCAATATTTCAGATAATCTGACCAATCACACTCACAAAAATGTGCACTAATACAAGGAGTCAAAACAACACATTAAATTAAAGGCACAAATGATGCTAAAATGCCATATTAACATTTTGGCATTAAAAAATTTCATATTCCTAAGGTTATCAACAATACACCACTGCAGTTTGCAATTTAATGTTTTTATTTTTATATTTTTTATTTGAGAAAGAGTGTGTGTGAAAGAGAGACAGAAACAGAGAGAAGGCATGCAAGCAGGTGGGGTGGGGGGGCAAAGGGAGAGAGAGAGAATCCTAAGTAGGGTCCACACTCAACCTGGAGCCCAACTCGGGGCTTGATCCCAGGACCCTGGGATCATGGGCTGAGCTGAAATCAAGAGTTGGACACTCAACCGACTGACCACCCATGTGCCCCAGATATTTAATTTTAAAAATTCTTTTAGGTTAAACACACCTTTGTCTTGTCAAGAAGAATTTGTTAAGACAATAATAATATTTAATATTTATGGAATTCTCACTGTATGGTAGAATTTTGCTTTTCTGTTTCCTTTGCTTTACATTTATTTTGTAAATGGTGGAGTATTAGAAGAAAACCGTTAAAAATGCAAATGAAAAAGCAGAAAGAAGTTTTCATCTCTTGTTCGCTACCTACAATGACTATTATGACTACATAATGATTCTTGTACAAACACAGAAATTAAGGAGTGATATTTACTACTGATTTTCCTAAAATTCGTTAAAGGACATGAACTTTCAAGGATTACAAAGGAAGCAAAATACAGTAGTTAAAATTATATTTAAAGGGAATACATTTAAATTAATTATATAGGCAGGTGAGGAAAAATGGATACTGAGTAATGGCCTGTTATTTAGGAAATGCAGTTTCCGAGTCTGTTTCTAGAGTAGCACAATGAGAATGTACTCTTAACTGGGATATCTTCAATTCCTAGAAATATTATTATTCTCTCGATTTACCTTGGTTTAAAGTATAACATAGCTTTAAGCAAGTATTTTACTCTGTTACAATGTGTTCCCCACATTTTTTATGGGTCTGAATGAGAAGAAAAGTGAAAATATGCTCTGTTTAAATCAGTAGTGCAGAAAAAGTATGAAGGATTGATTCATACTTTGGAAATGAATTTATCCTAATAGAAAATAAGCCATAAATACTCAAGAGGGCCAAATAACTCATGTCAACTTTAATAATATCCACCTTAACTCCTCTATATATTCTCAAGTTTTAAGATTGTGCCTATTTTTGAATACAGTCAAGATGCATTCCCCATCCTTATAAGATTTCTGGGTGTTCTTTATTCGGTCCTGAGACTCTACTGATTTTTGACTGACAGAAAGATGACCTAATAAACCATCACTACAAACTAATTAATCACTTTGAATACAACACTAAATTGGCAGGCATAAAAAGGCAAATGAGATGGGTGTTGAGGACCATTTTCAAATGACCCTAGTGAAAAGCTAAGTACAGATTTAATTTTTCGTTGCTACTACCTTCTGCATGTCCACGGGGCAACTGGTTCAAATGTACGCTTTCATCCTCTCTCCCTACGCCCGCCCGCCGGGCTCTCCCAACAAACGTTCAGTGTCTGAATGAAACCGCCCCAGGAACCAACAAGTATTTGCTGAGCCCTGGGATCAGACTGCAGCAGGGCCGCCAGCTACAGGGATAACACGTCAAGTTTTCACGTAAAGTCCCAGATCCCCCCTCCCCCGGTCTGTCTCCGCTTCCGCAGCACCCTGTCCATATTCCTATAACGGCATAATGACCTTTTATATGTCTGTGGTCTCCGTACAGGAATATCTATTATTCATCTCTGTACCCTCTGCACGTGGCATAGTATCTGGCGCTTGATACTTGTGTAATAAATGCATACTGTCTAGAACAAAAGATGGTGGTTTTCAGTTACCTTTTCTATTTGAAATGACGATTTCTCTGCATTTTCACACGGATGCAATGAAGTCAAAAAGAGTACTATTTGGGCTAGAAAGACAGTGGTCCTTAATAGAATCAAGATCTCTTGTTCATTGCTTTTTGTTTTATTTTTTTATTTTTAATGTTTTATTTATTTTTGAGAGAGAGAGAGAGAGAACAAACAGGGAAGGGGCATAGAAAGAGGGGGACAGGGGCGCCTGGGTGGCTTAGTCGGTTAAGCGTCTGACTTTCGCTTAGGTCATGATCTCGCGGTTCGTGGGTTCGAGCCCCGCGTCGGGCTCTGTGCTGACTGCCAGCTCAGAGCCTGGAGCCTATTTCAGAGTCTGTGTCTCCCTCTCTCTCTGACCCTCCCCTGCTCACACTGTCTCTCTCTCTCTCCTAGAAATAAATAAAAATATTAAAAAAAAAAAAAAGAAAGAAAGAAAGAAAGAAAGAGGGGGACAAAGAATCCATGAAGCAGGCTCTAGGTTCTGAGCTGTCAGCACAGAGCCCAACATGGGGCTTGACCCACTGAACCACAAGATCATGACCTGAACCAACGTTGGACGCTTAACCTAATGAGCTACCCAGGCATCTCTGTTTGTTTGTTTTAAAAAAGAGAAAAATTTTAAAAAGGGAAAAAAAGAAGTATCTTGGTCAGTCTTACCACTAAGCCAACTTAATGCCACCCACCTGATCCTGGAAGACTGAGACACTCTAGTTTTGTCAATTTCATATGCACCGGATGATTTAGTGACATAGGATCCTCTTGGGCTTTCACCCCTTGCTATTTATGCACCACCAGTAATATTTCCATTACTCTGGTCCCACCAATCTCTGGGATTAGCAGCTCTGTTAAAGGGGAAAAGATTTTTTTTTAGTATAAAGCAGAGATTTCTTCAATCCATTCAAGACATATATCTCACCAAGTCCCCCAACCACTCTTCCTTTGCTGTTTATCTCAAAAGGAACAGACACAGTCCTCCAGGAATCTACCTCATTTGCCACCATCTCCACTTCCAAGTCACTCGAGCACACAGAGAATGCCTCCATCTTTTGTGCTACGTGCATTATACGATCAAAGTCCCAAAGGTGGTGGTGTATGACCCTGCAGGACCAAGAAAACATTTTGTAGATGCCCTCTGTTCCCACTTGCAACAAGTAACCTCTCATGGTTTATCTGATAATTCATCTTTTCACCTCAGGCCTAAAAATAAATAAGGACAAAAAAAATCAACATGGGGGACAGTCCAAAGAGACACAACACTCGTAATGTATTACTTTGGAAGGGCTCTCCCCACCCCCAGCTCTATCCTGAGCTGGCCTCCCTCTGCCTCCCAGTGTTGCCTGAGGTAGCTTTTGTCTGCTGTTCTGTTCATGGCTGGCTGCCTGTGCTGGATGAGAGGGTCCCGGGGATCTGTCTGCTGAACTCCAAACACAGACATCCCTCCAACCAGACAAGCTGTGGCTTCCCGGGATACTAATGAGCCCCCAGCTATTTCCTGGGTCTCCCTTTTCCCATCCCCCCCCTTCTCTGCCTTCCTGCCCCCACCCCCAGTCCAGCACTGTCCCTTCAGCTCCCTCTCCTCCCTGCTTTTATCCAAGCTGCTCAGAGACAGAGAAGGGAGAGAGGAATTATTTATTGTGCGTCTGTTTAAAATGAAAGGCTTTTACATTTTAATGAGCACTAAATAGGTGCGAGGAAATATTGTTCATTAGCTGTAATCTGCGGAATTGCTTGAGTGAACTTCCTTCGGAGGCTGCTTTAAACGGTTCACTCAAGTAAAGCAGTTTGTATGGTAATTAAGGGAGCATTTTTCTGTCAACATCTGTGCTGCTATTTATAACAGGGGAGGTAGCTGCGAGCAACACCGAGGAGCAGCAAGGGGTAGGTGCTCAAAGACGCAGGTGGGGTGGGGCTGCCACTTGGGTCGGTGGTGCCGCAACTGTTCCTTCGTGGCACCTTTACGTCCGCGACAGGCTCCTTTTTCTTGCTTTCCTTCCTCTCAATGTCTAATAATTCTTTTAAAGAAATCCGCTCCCACTCTTCCCAGCGAGAAGGATTCTCTCTCTGACGTCTCTTCGTTAATCACACCCCTCACTTGGCAGCCCAGGCAGGGAGGCGCAAGTGGGCTTCAGCTTTGTCACATGGTTTCCCTCGGGGTGTCACCCATCTTTCTCTCCGTCGCCCCGCCACGCACTTACAGTGGCCGCAGGATCCCGGCACCAGAACCTGCGACTCCAGCGCAGGCCGAGAACTCTGGAACACGAAGAACCAAAACGGGTATTTCCAACTCTTGTTCCCGCAGGGAGCCAGCCTCTCTCTGCGACGCGTGCTGTATCCCGAGTTCCAGCCCACCCAGCGGCCAGTCTGGTTTGATGTTTCCCTTAAGGGCTTTGTAGGACTGTTTGCTTTCTCCCCAGCCAAAGGAAGGCCTGGCTTTGCAACCCCTCACACTAGAGAGACCCGGAAGAGGGTGCCAATCTGGCAAGTTCCAGGGAGAGGCAGCTAGGGCAAAGGGGGTTCTTTAGAAGGGTGGCCTGGCTCTGCTGACGCCAGGACCCGGAAAACAAGAGCAGGCAATCCACAGAGGCGAGGAGCGCGTGGGAGGGCTGGCCCCGGGCGCCGGTGACCTTGAGGTCAGGGCTGGCGCGGCCCGTGCTCCACCGTTTGAAGGGACCAGAGAGCGAGTCGGAACCACAACCCTCGGAGGAGTGGGAATCAGTGAACATACAGTTCAAGCAGAAAGTTGTGTGGGGAGAATAAGGCAAGGGCTCCGTTCTTGGGTCCAATGAGCTACGAGGTGGAACCCAAACCAGCAGCCACCCCAGCTGGATATGCTGCCCTCAAACAAACGGCAGGTCTTCTACAGTCTTCTCTCACTGAGGGCAGAAAGATTCCAAAATTCTCAAAAAGAGCAGTTACTTTTCCTAGCTGTGACGTTTATGACAATTGAGGGACAAGGGGTCAAACTGATCTTTACCATTGAAGAAAGATCATTTACCATCTAGACTGGGATTCTTAAATGCAAGGAAAATATTCTATTTAGTTCTCTGTGTCTTTCTTTACCATTGAAGAAAGATCATTTACCATCTAGACTGGGATTCTTAAATGCAAGGAAAATATTCTATTTAGTTCTCTGTGTCTTTCTTTCTTTCTTTCCTTCTTTCTTTTTTTCTTTGTCTTTCTGTCTTTCTCTTTTTTTTTACTCTTTTTCTCTCTCTCTTTCCCTCTTTATTTTTTCCTTCTTTCTTCATCTTTTCCTTCTTTCCTCCCTCCTCCTTTCCATCTCTCCCTTCTTTCCCTCCCCTCCCCTCTCCCTCTCTCTCCTCCCCTCCCCTTCCTTTTCCTTCCCTTCCCCTCCCTTCCCTTTCTTTTCCTTCCCTTTCCTTTCCTTTCCCTCCTTCCCTTTCTCACTTTCCCTTCCTTCCTTCCCCCTCCTTCCTTCCTTCCCCCTCCTTCCTACCCTTCTCTTTCTTTCTTTCTTTCTTTCTTTCTTTCTTTCTTTCTTCCTGAGTAAGTATTCAAAACAAATATCTCTTGAATGAAAGAATATACCGTTGATGATTCTGTCAATAACTGGAATGACAGAATAATGAAAAAAATGAAATAGAAGTGAGAGTGAAAATCAACAACTTTTCTTCTCCTGGGAAGCTTTATTCAATCGGTGAACTAGGAAAGAATCAACAGCCTTAAAATTAAATGCTCTTATTCATCCCATTCAAAATATTTATTTGGAAAATACACAGAAAAACTCATATCAGGTGCTTGTTGAGTGGGGTTGTATAGTGCACACAGGAGTCTACTAACTTCTAACCAATTTCATTATAATTCTGAGTACCATGAACCCTCTCTTTTTATTAAATATCATCTTCACTGATAGAACTTATCACTAAGCACAATATTTTCTCCTAGCTATTTTTGTCTTGATTGTATTTGCATTTGATTATTAACTGATGTTTGGATTCTGTATTTTGTCCCAAGCAAGTTCACTAAATGACATTTTTTTTTAATAAATTTTTTAAGTTTATTTGTTTATTTTGAGAGAGAGCATGAGTGGGGGAGAGGGAGAGAGATGGAGGACAGAGGATTAGAAGCAGGCTCAGCAGAGAGCCCAGTGTGGGGCTCAAAATCACTAACCAGGAGATCATGACCTGAGCCAAACTCAGATGCTTAACCAACGGAGCCACCCAGGTGCCCTTAAATGACAAAATTTAAGGAGTAAACTAAAAACTTCAAAAATGTGGTAAACTTCAAATAACTAAAAATAATTTACACTCGGAGATACATAAATACCCAAATCCACAAGTGATCCCAAATTACCATCAGTGTAACATAACTTCCTTTCTATACTCCATCAATACAATAGGTTGCTAAAACCCTCTCATTTGATTGTTCTTTTCCCATATGATACAGTTCCTCCTCTAAGGGAAGGATTAGAGTCAAATATGGAGGAGGAAGCAACACAGGAAGAGTAGAATGAACATAATTGGCATTGGATCATTTTCCAAGTGTTTACTCACATGTAATCTATAAACCATATATGTAATATCTATAAACCTTGCAACATATAACTCAAGAACTAAACTGTTGAGCCAGTGGAACCAGAATGCCATCCCTAAGAGTTCTGAGACTCACTATTTCCACAGGACACACTACCAGTCTATAAACTCTATGTTAAACCTGATGCCAGCCCACAAAGGGTTTTAAGTGTGGCCATGGAGACCGATGTGAAATAAATAAGTACAATGGAGTCTTCTGGATTCTATCACATGGTGTGTACTCAATGGAGGGCAACATCAAGAGATTCTTATCAAGACTGCCTGGGAGAAACGGGCACCAGGAACATATGCAGGATGTGAAGGTGGGTGGCGGTGGGAGTACAAAAAACCTGTGAAAGTCAAGGCATAGTGTCCTGAGGAATTATAGTTTCACTTTCTATAGACAATGGAAAATGACTGAAAACTTTAAGTAGGAAATAAATATAACCCATATTTGAATCTAGGCCCTGGGAATATAATGAAGCATTGGACTTGGTACTTGCTCTTAGATTCCAGCCTGGGTAGTTAATGATGACACCTCTCCTTATAACTGGGAATTTTTTTTTTTACCTAGAGGCAGCTTGGATGATATTGTTTCTTTTTTATAATTGAGATATATATCACATGCCATAAAATCCACATCTTTAAAATGCAATACAGTGGCTATTTTTCAGTATATTCACTAAGTTGAGCTATCTGATATAATCATCACCACTAATTCCAGAAAATTTTAATCACCCAAAAAGAAATGCTATCCCCATTAGCAGTCACTCCCCATTCTCCCATCCTGGGGAGTCCAGTACCTTAAACTGAACTTGCTTTGGGAATTCTGATTAGAGCTTTCTGTAGGGCACAGATAGAGATATCTGTGGAGCATCAAGAAGATGTTTAGATCTGGAGCTTGGGGAGAAGACTGTATCAAAAATCGAATCTGGGACTCCCCAGCCCAACAGGTGCTGATGGAAATCATGGGAGTGAAAGAGATTTCTCAGAAAGAGGAAAGAAGTTTTCCAAAATGGGCCTCGAAGAGTTTTAACATCCAAGGTGTGAGCAGGCCAATAGCAGTGTGGCTTGTGTCTTTCTAACTGGGTCTTTCCACAAGCACAAAATTCCTCTGCCACTGACATACACATGGAACTTGCTAGTGGTAGAAACCCAGATGACTATGGTCATTATTTTTCCAGATCAACTGAAGTGAGCACAGTCAGAGGGTAGTCATTATTCATGCTCTTTAGGATATCATTTTCTACAAATTATCTGCTGTAGTGAAAAAATTCTAAAAATTCTAAGTTCCTTGAGGAGAGAAACCACGTCCCATAATTCTTTCTGTTTTCAGCTGGACAGTGTATATATAGGGGATGCAAAATAAATGTCTACTGATAAGAAAAATGTAATTTTGTGAGTGCTTAACCTCTATATTCTTTTATCTGATCATTTTTTCATTTAACAAATACTTGAGTACCTACTGTGTACTGCTGCGGTCTTATGGATGCAGCTTAAAGTATAAAGAATGTCTTAGATATTTTCTTATTTTATGTTGTATTTTATTTTATTTTATTTTATTAACGTTTTTATTTATTTCTGAGAGAGAGAGAGAGACAATGTGAGCAGGGGAGGGGCAGAGAGAGAGGGAGACACAGAATCCGAAACAGCCTCCAGGCTCTGAGCTAGCTGTCAGCACAGAGCCTGACCAAGAGCTCGAACCCACAAACCATGAGTTCATGACCTGAGCCAAAGTCGGATGCTTAACCAGCTGAGCCACCCAGGCACCCCTTTACTGTTGTATTTTACACTCACATTTCACTTTTACTTTTTTTCAAATTTTTATTTAAATTCCACTTACTTACCATATAGTGTAATATTGGTTTCAGGAGTAGAATTTAATGATTCCTCAGTTTTGTATATTATTAAAGCAAAGATAACCATTAAATTAGTTATAAAAATCATTTTTTAAAAAAATATGTTGATTTTTAAGGAAACAAGTCAGATATCATGTTTTAAAATTATTTCTTTTCATGGTTGGCCTAATGTAGTTGCTTTCTGCTTATATATAAAAGGCTCACTTAGGTAAGAGAGTCAAATATTTTAAAATGATTTCTTCAAAATTGCAAACTGGTGTTTCCTTTCACAGGCTTCATGTTCAATTTTGTTAATTTAGTATTGAATAGGAAGGCAGTATATGATGGGCGCCATCAGATTATTTTGAGCTGGGACACAGTTTTATTACTCCATATGAAAAAAGAGATTTTGACCATGGAATTTGACAACTGTAATCAACAAATTGCAACATTTGGCAAACTTAGACTTCTCGCTTACTTGAGGTGACATTGCACATATCATCCCACTGAAATTCAGCACTGGGAGGCAACAGGGCATATTTGGGTGCTCCATTAACTTTTGTCTTGGAGTTAAAACTTGATGCACTCAACCACTTGCTGCATGTATTAACGGACCCCTACAACATGCCCCAGACTGGCATGTTTTAGGACACACACAGAATGTTCTTTAACTTTCCACTTAATTTTAATCTGTGTTCCCCAAATATTTTCTAGAAAGTGTTTCTGTCAGCCGAAGACGTACTCTTTTAAAAATTCACAAGTGGAGCATAAAAGAGAATGAAAACAAACTTATTAGACTGTTTTTCCGCTATTGTTTGTAAAACGTCTCGATGAATGTGTAACTGGAAAATAACAACCAATACAGGATAGAAACCAGACGAAACTGTTGCCTAGACTGAGTTAGAGGAAAAGACTTATAAACACATATTTCAAAGCATCAGGCAATGCCTCATCTTCCAGAAGCTGCGTAGAACGGGGGTGGAGGCTGAAAAGAGCTAAATCACTTTGCCTAAGAAGTGGCAAACATGGTGATTAAAAAGAGCTGAGGAGTCTGAGAAGAGATGGAGAGAATGAGAAGCAGAGAGTGCAGGCCAAGCCACGGAGGTGACATGACTGAGGGGCGGTCCTTGGGAGGGATTTGTAATATTCAAGTTCCGGTTGTTGCTTTGCTGCAACAGAAATCCCTCCACACCTTCAAACTTCTGTAAAGTCTGATATGCATACAAATGCCCCACATGCCTATGTTGAATTGAGGATAATTTCTTTAATTCGTTTCATTTCTTGTTGGAGTTGATGAAACCTGGGAGAGGGACAGTCCCTGTAGGATGATTCAATACACAAAACTGTGCTTGG